GGTCCTGAGCAGTGTTATGGTCCTGGGCAGTGCTGTGGTCCTGGGCAGTGCTGTGGTCCTGAGCAGTGCTATGGTCCTGGGCAGTGCTGTGGTCCACCATGGAGACGGAATTCCGCATGTAAAAGCAAAGAGCCTTTATTATCTTCAAGCTCTGAGCTTGGTCTCTCTGTCTGTCCGAAGCAGCAGTTGAGAGCAGAGAGCCCAGAGCCCAGACTGGGTGAGGTTTTATCATAGCAGAGGTTGGGGTGAGAGGATCCTCAGGGTTCAGGACCCTGATTGGCTGACAATTGTCTAGGTACAGGGAATGTTTGGAACGCCAGGTATTTCCTCTCAGTTGCAGGCCCCACAGGGTGGGGTCAGCTTGCGGCTCTTCCTGGGTCCAGGTGTTGCCTGCCGGAAGCTGTGTCTGGGCCTCAGGTATTTCCCCTCAGACGCAGACCCCACTGGGTGGAGTCGGCCAGAAGCTGTGTCTGGGTCTCTAAGCCTGTCATGGCAGCTGTTGGTCAAGCTCTTTTGGGGCTCCCCACAGTGATGGCCCATGTCTTTAATGCCGGCACCCTGAAAACAGGCAAATGGATCTCTGCACATTTGAGGCTAACCTGGTTTAAATAACAAATCCCCACCCCCCCAGCAGAAGTGTCACCAGTGAGACCCAAGAAGGAAAGGGGGAGGGGCCAGAGAGATGGTTCCGCAGCTGAGTGCACTTGTTGCTCTCACAGAGGAATTGGGCTCAATTCCCAGCACCACATGCTCACAACCATCTGTAACTACAGTTCCAGAGGATCCCATGCCTTCTTCTGGTACTCCTTGAATACCAGGAAAGCAAGTAGTGTGCTTACACATATATGCAGGCAAAACACACATACATATGAAATAAAAGAAATGAATCTTTAAAAGAAATGAACGAAAGACAGAAAAGGAAAAACCCCAGTCGTGGAAGCATTAAAATGCCTTTGTGTTTCCTGAACCTCCAACCCCACCCCAATTTCCCAAGTTTAGAAATATATTTTTGTTTGTTTTTCGAGATAAGATTTATCTGTGTAACAGCCCTGGCTGTCCTGGAACTCACTCTGTAGCCCAGGCTGGCCTTGAACTCATTGAGATCTGCCTGCCTCTGCCTCCCGGGTGCTGGGATTAAAAGTGTGTGTGTCTGTGTGTGTGTGTGTGTGTGTGTGTGTGTGGTGGCACACTTACTTGTACAAGGCATGTCAGCACTTACTTGTAATCCCAGTACCAAGGAGGTAGAGGCATGAGGATTAGGAGTTTAAAACCAGTCTAGGCTATTTTTAATCTCAAAAATAAAAAAACAAAAACAGAGTGGAGGTGAAGGGAGGGGTGAAGGGAAAGGGGGAAGGAGCCCTTCTCTGGAACAAAGTTTCTGGGGTTTTCTCCAGACAGATCCCTGGTACTCACTAATCATTTCATCTGCTCTATCAGATAGGTGGGTGCCCAGGGCCCAGAGTGGGCCTCGTTTGCTCCCTGAGATTGCCATAAACACAGTATCTCCAGACTTGTCTAAGCAAAAGAAAACTAGGAAGCTTTCTGAGTCACGTGGTCAGAGTGTGCCAGGGAGCCAAGGAATTCCACTCTATAATCCTGTGTTGGTAGAAGCTAGTCCTACCCCACCTGTTCCACCAGGCCACCAATGTGAATGTGGGGCAGGTCACCCTGCATGACCCCGGGTGTTTATCACCTCCTCAGTCTCAGGGTCCCTATCTCTTAGTGTGGTGTGAGATCTCGCCAAGGTCGAGGTAGAGAGCATTGTGCACAAACATATCGAAGCAGTCTGCAAAGTTAGAGGACTTGGGCAGTCCAGAAGGCATGGACGACAGGACCCTGGCAGAGGGCCCTAAGTGTCCAGCGCAGGCGAAGTGTCCAGCGCAGGCGAGCTAAGCGCAATCCGGAGCTGGATGCAAAACGTAGGCAGGAAAGCACACCTCGGCTGGCTTGAGGATAGGGAGGGTTGGGCTGAGCAGATGCCATGCACTCGGGGGGCCACTGGATCTGGACCAGCACAAGGCAGCTTAAGAGGTATGTGCCAGGGTCCGGCGGCCCTCCTCCTGCTGTTCACGGCCACGCCCCTCGCCGTGGCCAACTTGCCAACGCGCGCGACCTTCAGCACCCCTGGGCTGTGCGCGCTCTCGGCGCCGGGCGCTGCGCCAGGCCCGGGTGGGAGGACAGGAGGGTCCCCGCGCAGGCTCGGACTCCCGAGGGCTCCGCG